AGAATAGAATATGCATTAATTTTTACCTCAGAAGATAAATGTTTGCCTCATTCAACCAAGAAACATTTATTGCATACTTTCTGTGTGCTAGTTACTTGGGGGTATCATGATAATAAGGTCCTGCTCCCATGGAACTTACAGTTACTGAGGTTGGGGTTCTGGAGCTCAGACATTAAATGTAAAATTCACACACCTAAACGTGAAATCTGTAATGTGATAAGTTTACAAAATGGAGGATGGCAAATATCTGGCTGATTTGCTGGTCCTATCTAACGAAGGCAGCAGGTGAGAGATAGAGAGAGACAGAGAGAGAGAGACAGAGAGAGAGAGAGGGGGAGAGAGAGAGAGAGAGCGAGAGCGAGCGTGTGTGTGTGTGTGTGTGTTGGTTTGAGCTGGTTAGGGAGGTCAGGGAAACCTCTCAGAAAGTGGTGAAAGAAGAATGGAAGTCATGTAGGTGATGGGGTGGGATTAGGGTGGAAAAGTATAGAAGAATGTTCTAAAGAGGAACATAGGGGATGAAGAGAGAAAAGACTAGAAAGAGGAGAAATACAAAGGTGCAGCAAGACGGTGGAAACATCCTTCTTCCCTCTCCTCCCCTTTTCTTTCTCTCTTTCTCTCTCTCTCTCTTTCTTTCTTTATAGAGATAGGGTGTCACCCTGTTGGCCAGGCTGGTCTCCAATTCCTGACCTCGGGTGATCTACCCATCTCAGCCTCCCAAAGTGCTGGGATTACAGGCATGAGCCACCACGCCCGGCCTCCTTCTTTTAACAAATATTTATTGAGTACCTTTCGAGATCCAAACACCAATCTTAGCAATGGGGATTAGCACTAATAAAGGAGTGAAAAAATCCCTACCCTCGTGGAGTTTACGTTCTAGGGCAGGGAGACAGACACTCAACAAACCAGTGAAATATACAGTACATCAAATGATGATGCATTCTGCAAGGAAAATAATTTAGGAAATAGAGTGAGGAAATATTTGGGGAGGGGATGAAGTTGTTATTTTAAATATGGTAACCAGAAAAAGTCTCACTGATGGGTTGGCCTTTGAGCCAAGACGTGAAGGAGCAGAGGGAGAGTGCCTTGCTAGGGGAAGATAGCTAGGGGAAGCAAACACAGGGCAGAACAGGCAGCTGGAGGCCAGGTCCTTCAGGCCGTGCACCTGACAGGTTTGAGGAAGGCTATGGAGGCCAGTGGAAAGAAGCAGAATGGGCATGCAAGCAAGTAGCAGGTGGTGCTTCCCAAGGCATCCTGGGTCCATTTCTTGTGCCCCATGGGCCCTATGGACATCCTGGACTTTTACTCTGAGTGAGATCAGAAGCCATCAAAAGTGGAGGACAAATAGATCAGAAGAAGGTTTCCAGGTAATGAAGAAGATGTCCACCTAGTCATTAGCAGTAAGCCAAGAAGTCTTAAACTAAACGGAAGTGTTTCCAACAATAGGCTTTGGGTATTCCAGGTCATCTGACATTTCCTGAGTGAAACCTTAAGACCACTACAACTTGAGATTTGGTGTTTTTAGAATGGCTTTTGGGTTAGGTCCACTAACAGGATGGCTAAGCTGATCTTGATTCATAAAGATGCATTTTGGGAACAGATCCATTGTACTTTATTAAACATCTGTCTGTTTTGAGAACCCCATTGCAAAATTCAGTTTCCATAAAACCACCTATGTTTATGTGACAACTGTGTACCTAAATATGCGAGACAGTACATGGGTAATATGGGCAGGTGACTGAAATAAAGTCAGCTGAGGGCTGAATGACAGTGTATCCCACCGGGTAGATGAAGGAGCAGGGAGGGAGAAAGAGCAGCTGGGAACACAGATTGAGGTGGGCAGGCAAGACAGTGGCCTATTAGGATGAGCACCTTCCCACAAAGGCCATCAGCCCTTCATGGACACTCAGCATGGACACATTGGCTTTTGTATAAGCTGAAGTTCATTCTCTAGAGAAGCTAGTGTGTTCTCTGAAAGTAAGGTTAAAATTCATTGTGGCAATTTGCAAAATGATCAAGAGGAGGAAATACTTTATTATTCACATTCGAATGCTTTGTTACCCATACCCTTCTTCTGGTTCCCTTTTTAGCATTAGGGCTATAGTCTTTGGTATGAATGTTTAATATTAATCTCTGAACACTAGGAAGCAATTTCAATATTATGGACTTCAGATCCTTGGCACTTTTCCAGGGCAGAGGTGAGGGAGAGCACTCCCTAGGCTTAGTTCTTGAAGGTAGTGCTGGATGGGCATGTTGGTTCTGTGGGCTTTTTAGAGATCACAGCAAAAATCTTCTTATATTTAGACCTCTTCACACTTTGGGACTGCTTGTGATAATTTTCCTGTGGTCTTTTGGTCACCTACTTGACAATTTCCTCCTATGGCATTTGTTCTAGAAAACAGCGGTTCTCAGTGTCTCAGGGCAAACACTCTTTGATTTTTAGTGAAAAGTCATGGAACCTCTTCAGCCTTGACCTGGGTGGGAGGTGTCTGGCAACTCAAGGAAAAGCAACCACGACTCCAAGAAGGGAGTCAGTCCCCTGAGAGCCAGTACTGCTGAGTCCAGGGGTCTTGATGCTGGGAAGTTATTTTGTTTATGTTTGCTTGTTTAAAGTCCCCATTTGCTTTTCTTCAAGGTCCAGCTCCCAAATCAAGTTGATTTTTTACCATCACTCACTGGGCTGGCCACATAGAGCCAGAATTCATGGGCCTTCCTGGACAGAGTATTTTCCGAGACCCCTGGAAGTCAGATGAATGCTCACTCGCTCTGTGACTTTTATCATCCACGTGCTTTCTAAATATGAACTCATTCTTCTTTCAAGAATCAGGTTAAGCATTGTTATCTCCACTTTACAAATGGGCGTGCCCAGATTTCATTATTCGGAAGATAGATTTTGAGTCCATGATAAATGTACTTAGCATTATAGTAAATTGAAGATGAAAAGACCTAATAGGTTACCGGGTATTGCCCCTCCCTCTTCACCTCTATGCTACCAGAACAGGAAGCTTCTGCAATCTACTTTCTAGTGCTTTGATCAGTCTTGGTTTAAATGTCCCAGGGGAACCTCCCTGTAAGGCTAACCTTGGAGAAAGAATATCCTTCTAAAAGCTACTTTTGTGGTCTCAGTGCTACGACGACTCCTCCCCACAGCTGAAAGGCACTTGGAAGTGAGAGGAATATGGTTGGAAGTCTTTTTTCCTTTCTTTTTAAGGAGAATTACAAATTCCAAGAGTCACATGTGTATCTTTTCTTTTTATGGTAGATTTTTATATGGCTTTCTAGGTTTACTAACAGACATACAGGATTTTGAGTTACAGTTGGGACATGAGCTCATGAAATTAGTCTTAACTGCTTTAACCCGTAGGTGCTCGTGTTTATGGAATAAGAAAGTCATAATCGCTGACCGCAGCCATTAAAATCTGATGTGAGTCAACTTTGAGTACAAAGACTTTCTATAAGCCAACTCTCTTGAAGCTGAAATGATCACAATTTAATATAACGAGAATAATTAATAAGGAGTGTGCCAGTGACCTTGAATATTAATATTGTTTCCTTTTCCTGTAAACAAACTGGGTTATTTTATTATTATTTTAGTGTGTAATTTGGCATAAACACTCCTTTTCACATAATTTCCCCAGGTGACTTTTGTCTCCTTGGCAATTTCCGGCTTTAATAAAGAAAACCTAATTAAGAAGGAGCTGTTGATTGGTTTGCTAGTGTAATTAACACAGGTGATGCTAATGAGTTTCTATGAAACCGGTGGTTTATGGGAAAAATAAACAGACCGTTGTTGCATATGGCCCAACTGATATCTGCACTCTGGAAGAAATGATGATTTCCAAGTCTCCTGTGAGTGGTTTGTGGGCATGGAATAGGCAGATAAAATATTTTATAAGATTCATTAGTGGAACTTGACCAAATTGAGAGCAAAAAAAAAAAAAGTCTCAGTGTTAGGCGATATTAAAAAATCTGATCCTTGGCTGTAGTACTGGTTAGGTTTGTCATTTTTCACGTGCCTAAAAAGGGACAGATTTCTTTTGTTTGGGTTGTGTTTCCGAGTCTCATTATAGTCATCTGAAGTTTGCAAAGCTTCTAGCAGCCTTTTCTTCCTTTTCTTTCTTTCTTTGTTTCTTTTTCTTTTTCTTTTTTGAGAGATAGTCTTACTGTATCACCCAGGCTGGAGTACAGTGGCACGATTATGGCTTTCTGCAGGCTCAACCTCCAGGGCTCAAGTAGTCCTCCCACCTCAGCCACTAGAGTAGCTGAGACTACAGGTGCATGCCACCATGTTCAACTAATTTTTGCATGTTTTTTTGTAGAGATGGAGTTTCACCATGTTGCCTAGGCTGATCTCAAACTCCTGTGCTCAATTGATTTTCCTGCCTCAGTCTTTCAGAATGCTGGGATTATAGGCATGAACACTGCACCTGGCCCCCAGCAGTCTTTCCAGGGACATTTTAATTTTCATTCTCTTCTTCTTGACTTTGCCCATTGACTCTTGAGGATGCTCTGACTAGGAAAGCACATGGGATTGCTGCAGAAATTAAGACAGCTGCAAGTCTCCTTTCTTGGCCTACAAATGCTTCCTGGGGAGCTCTTTTTTTGGGTTGGGGAATATAGTCTTGCTCTGTTGCCCAAGGCTGGAGTGCAGTGGCATAATTTTGGCTCACTGCAACCTCTGCCCCCCAGGTTCAAGTGAGTCTTTGTGCCTCAGCCTCCTGAGAAGCTGGGATTACAGGTACATGCCCCTGTGCCTGGCTAACTTTTATATTTTTAGTAGAGACATTATTTCACCATGTTGTCCAGGCTGGTCTCGAACTCCCCACCTCAAGTGATACACCTGCCTTGACCTCCCAAAGTGCTGGGATTACAGGCATGAGCCACTGCACTGGGCCAATCCTGAGAAACTCTGAATATTTGTATTTTCAGTGGTGTCCAGGCTAGTCTGGTGCATCCAGAATTACTTTACAACAAGCAAATTTCCTCTTTCTTTTTTTCTTACTTTTTCTGGGCTGGAAGGGGTGGTGGGGACACAGGTTCGATATCATTTCACAACAACTTTATACAGTGAATAAGACTTTTGTAGCATCAATGAATATTTTATCATGGTAAATTTTACTTGGAATACATAGCTATTAGTGTTGATAATTTACAAATACCTTGTTCAATTTCAAAGCTGATTTTTAAAGCTGTTTTCATAAAAGCCCAATTGATCATAGCCCTCTGATGTTTACACAGTGTTTCGAGGCCCCTTCTCTGTCAGTGGTGTGTTCTCCTTCCTGAATCAATTTTTAAAGTATGTGTTTTCTCTTCATTTTTATCTGATTTTCTATCAGCAGCAAGTTAATTCTTTCTCTTTTTTTTCCAGCCTCCAAAAATGCCTGTTCCACTTTGTCTCTCATCTATTGCTATGTGACAGAAAAACCAGAGACATCCTGTGTCTAGCAGTGCACCTCCAGGGACATCTTTTGAACTCTCATAATTTGTATTTATTGCCACCCACTTTGTAAGTTCACAGTTTAATTTGCCAGCAGTGGCAGTGTTAGGCCGACACAGTAAAACAAGATAACGTTAAAATGTCAGAATGAGAGGGGGCATGAATGATGCATTACCCCTACCAGGACTTGCACTTGTCATTCCTTTCCACCAAAGTGATGTTAACTACCTTTTGAGAGCTTTATCTGACTGGTATTACTCAGAAATAGGATCATTAGTTCACTGTTCTGATTAGGAAGCCGCTATGCTTGATTAACTCTTCTTGGACTGAGATCTCAGTGGAAGCATTAAATGAATCGCGCTGACTTAGACGTCTAGAACTAATTTATAATTATTTTTTTGCAGTTATTTCTAGTTGTTGACATGTGTTTTTCCATGATGTGGTACTTAACAGGAATGAGTTAAGCCTACTGGAGACAAGCATGTTTGAGTTGCGTGTTTTAATCCATATTTCAAGACAGGTGTTCTAGATTTAAAAAATGTTTCCTGTAGACAGATTCTAAGCCATTGTTCTCAGTAACATCTATGTCTCATTCATTCACAACTTTTTGAAATTTCTGGGTTTGGTAAATTTCATCCCTTTTGTAGTTTTGGCTGAATCATCGCCTTAGGAGCAAACTAGTTGAATTCATGTTTGTTCACAGTGGTGACTTCATGGGTGAGAAGCAGGGCTAACATGTGTCTTAAAGAAACTTCCAAAATGATAAAGCTAGATTATTGAAACAGGAAATCCTTCCCCACTTCCCCATTCCCCAAAACCACCTCACACAGTTCTTTCCCGGTCTAAAATTTTCTTCCTGTCTGAAATCCTAGCATATTGATTCTTCGGCTTCTGAGCAACTACATAACTCTCTGCCCTCTTCCAAATGTATACTCAATACATATATGGATGAATTTTAGATTATCTTGAAAGCCAGTTTTGATAGGGAAAGCACTGAAAAGCTAGAAGGTGGATATGGGGGTAGCACTGAAGAGGAAATTTATCCTACAACAAGCATCTCGATGGTAATAAAGACTTCTTTTGTGTTCCATTGAAAAGGGCTCCATTTTACAGTAAAGAGGTAATGAAACTTGTATTTTAGTTTAGCCTTTATAAAATAAGAATATTTTTCATCTTAAAATTTGAAACAGAAACAGAGCTGGATGAAATAATCTGAGAGGGATTTGTGTCTCTCCTGCACTGCTGCATGTACGGTGTCCAAGACTCCTAGGGGGTCCCTGTGCATTTGTTAAATGCAAGGGATCAAGTTATCACTATGGAGCAGCCTTCCCCATTCCCCTTTTAAATACTTTCCTCCTGAAAGGGCTTTTTTTTTTTTTCTCCAAATCTGTGCAGATCCAGAAAGTTGGGTTGTGATTACAGATGCCTCTGATGAACCTGGGGTTACCCTGAGCATATTAACAGCACCATCCCATTATGTTCCTTTATCATATACTTGACATCTGCCCTAAGTTACCATCCTTCACTATCTGCTTAAGTCAGCCTGTGTTCTCTTTGGAGATGTCTTGGCAGGTAACCCTTGGCTATAGATACAGATGAATTGGCCTTCAGCTATTAGTATTAAAAATATAATCAGGACTTGCTTTTCTAAGAAGGTGATTTGGACCTGGTTTTCAATACCAAGCCAGGTGGCTGTCTTTGTGGGGGTTGGGGGACAAGTTTAACTGAGATGGGGGGAGCTGGATAGCAGTATAAGGATTCAAAAAGGAACTGGGTTTTGGGGTAGTTACGATAAAACCCTAAAAGGTACAGGAAAAAGAGTATGTGTTTGGTTTGAGTTTCTTGGGTCTATTAATTGCCTTCTAGGAGTGTACTTTTTGTCAGGGTGAATCATTTATTGCCAATTCTAGTTTATTGATATTTCTGTCTGTGAGCCTATTTTTCAGTGGTTTTGCCATCTATTGCCCGGAGAATTGATGCTTTCTGAGATTTGACCATAATGCTGCTTTTGTAGCGAGGGGAAAAGAAGTCATAGAAAAATAGTTTTTTGTATAACCCTATTGAAAAGGTGATCATCAAACTGGAAGGACTTTTTGTTTTTCTCCTTCCCTACCTTTGTAGGAGAAACTTTCGGTCAATATGGGTCAGGCTTAATCAAAATTAACTTTATTTTAAATCTGCTGTTGTTTGGAAGTTCCCTTTCTATACTGTTTCTTAGAAAAGAAGGTTGGGTATGAAGTTCTATAAGAAAAGCCCTTTGGCCAAGAAAATATAAAAAATTTTCCAGAGAGTCACAGATACCAGTGTGTGTTTTAGGGAAGCAACCAATGTTACTTCTTCTAGAAATAATTGTTGTAACTGAATTAAGATTACTTTCCCACATCAAACTCTCTACCTTACTCAAAGCTTCCTGTGTCCTGCCTTGTCCCAGATAGAGAACAAAATGAAACCCTCACCAATTTTGTCTACCTTTTTTGCTCTAAGCCAAGGTTTTGCAGCACCATTAGGATGTAGATTATCATATTTAAAACCTGTGATGACACCGTTGTACCCATCCGAATGATTAATCTGCTCATTAAAAGAGTACCGATGGCCTAGTCTAATTGGAACATGGATCTTCTTAAAGGACGTTACAGGGTCGGGAATAGGAAATATTACTCATAACATAAAGTAGGGATTAATTATGCTACTAAATACTACTGTGTGAAATTTACATATGGGTCTGGTTAGAGACAAGGATTAGAAAAAGTGTAGCATCCCATTTTATAACATTTATGTCAACTTTAAGACAGGTGGTGTGTTCATTCTTTAATCCCAAATCTTAAATCAACATTTACAAAAGCTGTTATAAACTCAAATGCCACAGAAGGCTTAGAGGTTGGGATAAATGCAGAATTTGCATCAGTGAATCACCATGATTTAACCCTATGGATTTTGAAAAAAGCAATTGCAAAGATCCAAGGCTGCAGAGCAGTCTCTACTCTACGTTAAACCTTAAACTTCTGCATGATATTCATCTTCGTAGGAATGAAAGTACAATTGGGATCTTTAAGAAAATAGGCAAATCCACTGAGCACAAGTTTACAAGCTTTTTCCACCCCCCCCCATAACCTTTCTTTAAACAAACAATATGTATGAAAGATGTAAGGGGATTGCTTGGAGCAAAGGGGATGGGAGATTTGAATCTCCACTTAAGGGCCTTTATTCCACTGGGATCCCATGGCCACACAGTTAGAAAACCACCGTATGACATGGAGGTGGATCCTATAATGCGGATTGAAAGAACCTTGAAGATCTTTTATTCCATCTCCTTCATGCTCAGGCAAGGGAGCACAAAAACTCACAAAATGAGTTAGCGACAAGGCAGAACTGAAAAGTAAAGTTTCTGACTCATATTTCAGGGCTGTTTTCAACAAACAACATGCTATCTCTAGTCTGTTACCAAATATCTTGACATGTTGGATTATTCGTTTGACGCATCACGTCTTAAGGTATCTCTGTTTACTAAAGTCATATCTGTTTGACAAATGTGAAATATATTCTTACACATCTTGAGGATTTGTTGCATTTTCCTACTTGAAAATTCATATTCTTTTTTTTACTTGTAGGCAGATGTCATGTCAAGTGTCAGGTAAAAAATGGAAAGTTACTCCTCTGGAGTAAACATTCTACCAAGAGAAAGGAAAATTAGAGCACTTGGTTATAGGTGGGCCTCTACCTGTTTAAGGAACTCAGAGGATTACATGTTGGTGTTTTGAGTGCTTCCAAGCTCAGAGAGTTTCCCTAGGCTTTGGTGACCATGTAATATTTCTGGGACTGGGCAAGCCTTAGGCAGACAATGCTGTGTTTAAAGAGACCTTAACAGGCTATCATTATCCATTCAAGCTCCTGCATACCTTTGAGTCCTTCTGTCCAGCTCCCATGTTCTCTCCTCTCCATTTTATTCTGCCTGTCTGACTGAACTGAATCCACCATTAGCTCTCACCCAGATTACTAGAGTAACTTCCTAGCTGTCTCCTGGACTCCAGTCTTAGTCCTACTCGGTCTGTTGTCTATACAGCAGCTAGAATGATCTTTCTGATGCTTCTGACGTCACTCTTCTGCTTAAAAGGGGCTCCCACTTGGACAGCCCGGCTCCTCATTGCCCCACAGATGAAAGTGCAAGCTTTTAAGAGTTCATACAGTGTCCTTCCTGGTTCATTTCTCACTACTCTCCTCCGTATATTGGACCACTTTGCACTGTTGCAAACTCACCATGAACTCTGAACTTGCTTTTGTCTTTGCAGCTGTTTTCTTTTATAACTGGTATACCCTTCTTAGCTTTCTCCTTGCCTCAGCTTTCATCTGGCTGTGTCTGACTTATCCTTCGGATTAAATTCAGCATTAGCTCCTCAAAGGGGCCTTCTTGTACCCACCAACTTAGGGTACAAGTGTGCACTCTCTCTCTCCATCATAGCACTTTTCACACTGCCTGGTAACAATTACCACGTAGCTCCCACCCCCAGAGTGAGCTTCTTGAGGGCAGGGTGCAGGATATTATTGTTTTCCTACTTTTTGTTTCCTAGTACGATGTCTGATTCAAAGGAGGAAATCAATAAATGTGGGGGGAAGGAAAGAAAGCAATAAACCCCACTAAAATT